AGCATACAGAAACCTTATAAACTCGCCTCTATTTTGACTAGTATCGTTTCTGTAGTCTATAGTTTTATTTTCTTTATTTTAATTATAATAAGATAACTTATTATGATCATTTTCAGGAATCAAAATTAATCTGATTGGAATATAATACGCACAAAGAGTGATTTCTGAAAAACTTTGAGTTGTGTCACTTTTCTTGAGGGGGTGCGATATAGGTTATATCAGTAATATTTTTGAGAAACATGTTGCAAATTATTATTTGTGCTAATAAATTATCACCAAATAGTCAATTTTCTTCGGCTAGAACATTTATCAATATTTTTAAAAAGCTTAGTAGATAGTTTGTAAAATTTTGTTTTTACATAAAAATGTTTATGTTCGTTTTTTTAGTTTTATTATGAATCAAAGTGTTGAAGTTAATAAACTAGGAAAAACCTTGGTTGCAAAGATTGTCGTATCCATATTTTCGGCTACAAACCCTTAGAAATCTCATAGATAATCGTGATCTTTTTTGATTATGTTAAGCATGAATTTTCACGATATTTTTCCTAGATTATGTGACATGAGTGTGTATAGCATAAGGATCCGAGCTTATGCAAAAATGCTGTTTACGTGAAATAATATCATTCTTTCCTCGCATCGCGTTTTTTCATTAGTATTCACTGCATCGCCTTCGGTCCATTGTTTTTCTCGACACATTTGCATTCTAAGAAATGTTGGATGCGCTACCACTACACCATCCAAAAATAAGATATTTTATTATATATTGCAAGAAAACACTCAACAATATAACAAATTCATAGATTTGTTGATTTCATTCATACAGCCTTTTACTTTAAAAAATAATGCTCAGCTCTTTTTCTTGACATTAGTCAGGCTTTTGATAAAATTTAGCATGAAGACCTGTTATACAAATTAAAGAAAACGTTACCACTATTATCTTCTTCTAAAATAATATTTGTGTGATAGAAGGTTCTTCGTCAGTTTCAGTGATGCGTCATCTCTTGTTAGAAATATTTCTTCCGGAGTTTCGCAAGGTATTGTTCTTGGTCCTATGTCACTTTAGAACCCTAGTTGTCCTCTAAAAGACCTGTAATTAACCGAATGAAGGGCAGTAGTTAACCAAGATTACTTTTATAATCAAACCTATTTAATACCGATACTTCATTTACAAGTATTTGTGGAACATGACTGTATTGGCATATTGTAATGTTGCCTAACTGATATTCATAATTATTAGTTTACTCTATTGTGAATAATAGGAAAAATAGTTATAACTAGTACAATATTCGATCTGACCTTAAGCTGGACCTGTCTTCTTGTGGCACAACACACTCTGTCGCCCATAGGATACGAATGATCTTTTTGAGACGACTATAAAACTCTTACCTTTGTCTTACCATTGTCTAGGAATATGTCTGGACCTTAAGGAAAGTGTATTTTTTGGACTCCAAGAATCAGTATTAAATTGAGTTTAAGGGTAGTGGTTGTGTTCAGGCGACAATACTAAAAATCCTTAGTCTTCAACTTTTCGTGGACTTTACATTTTAATATCATTTTCATATATTCAAGAACTGAATATAACCACGGCTAGCATTCGAGTTTAAATAAGGACACTGCGAATTGACTCTATACTCATATATTAACTCTATATTCAAAGAATTGCAAAGAATTGTTCAAAAGATTTTTCTATACAACTTATAGAAAAATGTTGCTTTTATCATTGAAAAATTAAACTTTATCAAATAATCCCGAAGTGTTTATTCATATACTGAACGTGTCATGCACCTAAATTTCATTACAGTTGCTTTAATAGTATTCCCGAAGATTCATAGTAAAAATTGCTGTCTCTGAATCATTAAATGTATTTTTTCAAATTTCATTAAAAATTCCAGAAATTATCCTAATTTCAGAACCTGAAGACCATCACGTACGTCGGACAACTTGGTATATAATATATATTTATTCTTTCAATTTAATTCTATATGGTTTCACAGAGTCCGCTAAAATATGACACAAAATTAGCACAGTTTCAAAACAAATCTTATTGCATAATTTTAAATAGTATTCACTAAAAATAGACAAATCGAAAAGTCTAACTTCCGCAAGTTATTGATATATATGAAATGATATATATATATATATATATATATATATATATATATATATATATATATATATATTAGCTTTTTTATTCGTATTTGTAATATAAATTTACATTGGCCGGTAAACAATTGATTTATTTAGTATGTTGAAAGCAATTTAAAATTAAATTAAAATTAATGTTCTATTTAAAATGAATATTTAATCACATTTTTTAACAATGCCCACAGTTGTTTATTGAAACAAAAACTAAATTATCAGTGTATATGAAATGATTTAATTAAAACGTATTGGTAAATAATTTTTTAAGAGTTTCGTAATCATAACAACTATTACAAAAATTTGCAGAAATAATAACAATCGTAATTTAATATTTAAGCTATAATAATATAAAAAATTGGTTTGACTTTGACTATTAAGAGTTATGCTAAATTTTAATCATTTTTCTTTGCTTACAAATTATGCATATGAATTAACAACGTGAGTCTAAAATATTTTTGCTTGTTTCTTAAACAGCAATCAGAATTATGTATTCTATAAAAAATATATTTATTAGAAGGCAGACTAATGGTTATCATTTTCTGTAATTGTGACTGAATTTTATATTTTTTGCTTCAATGCCCGGAAGTTGTATTTTAACTTGAAAACATATTTTGCATCTTTATTTTCAATTAGATAAATATTACTACTGCTTGATATCAAGTTGTACGCATAGAATAAATAGTGACGATAAAAGTGATATATAAAAATTTATAAATATATTTATAATCAATACTGGATAGTACTCACAAATGAGTTACTTTTTATTTGTTTTATAAAATATGGAATTTTACGAAAACTTTAGTGTGTATAGCTTGGACTAATTTAACAATATAACTTAAATTTTCATAATCATTTTGAATTTTATTATAAATGCAAAATCCGTCTCGTATAATGGGAAACATAGTTTTTTTTAAATTAAATTTTGTACAATACAAAAATGTTGAATTGTACAAAGTAACATTCTTCTAACATAAGTAATATTTCTAGTTATGTGACAAATTTAACAAGGCTAACCTTAAAACAAACGATGTATTAAGTACTTCCCTATATATTTGAACTAATGCCAACATCTGCTGTCGCCGAGTACACCTGCTTTTTATAATAAAAGAAACACTTGGCAAAGTTAACATTTAGACATTAAATTAAGGATATCTTTGCTAATAGCGGAAAATTTATTCGCCAAATTCATGCTCGAGATCATGAAAGTTTAGTAATATTAGAATGAAATAATCAAAATATTATTATATTGACTTATTCTGAATTATTCGATTTCTATTAACGGGGAGACGTGCTGATTTGTTTCTGGAAAAGGCAGGTCCAACTGTCGAATATACGGGGAAAAAAGTGTAAAAATCGGTAATTCAGTTTTTGAGAGAATTTGACGCACCAATTTGAATGATTTAAAAAACATTTTATTTGTATTGTCGAAATGAAGATCTGATGAAATTTTATTTTCGAAATAAAAAGTTGAAAAATATATCTAAATAGCTAAATCTCAATTTCGGTTGATACAAATCAGTTATACAGATATTACTTACCCCTAGTTCTACTATTATTTATCTATAATTCACATAGAGTTCATTATATATTTTGTGGTTGATTCTAACTAAGTAGAACACAAACAATTCTAGAAAAGCGGCGTAATTAATCTTCATAATATAAAAAGTGTGCATCCGAGTCAATATAATTGAAATTCAAAGCTTTATTGATAATTGACGAGAAATAATACTGGTGGACGTTCAATTGTCAGCAGGACTCCACTTGAAGATGTCTGTAAATACTTGAAAAACTATCAAAACAGGATATTAACCTCAATAATATTATGACGTATGTTCAGGCCCGTTTACA